CGAACCAAGGATATGATTGATGCGTTGGAAGTGTTGGGGGTACTTATTGTCGAGTTTCACTTTTTCGCGATTACCACTCCGCACGGTTAACAATATTTTAAAATAGTGCCTTCTTTACGATGACAAATAATCCCCCCTTCGTAGAACGAAAATTACTTGTTAAGCTATCACCCGCGTTCAAATACAATTCACACACTCTATCATTCGGACGCCGAATCCAATGACGTGATAAAGTCCATACTTCACTCGCTCAGATTTCATGATATTGTCTCTAGGGGTGAGACGAAGGTAGATGACCTTAATACCGAGGAAGCAACACAACATATAAAAGAATCGATGCGAGTAAGTCATGAGTGGACCAACGAAAAATTTGGGAATTTCGTGGCAGAGTTGGATGACAAAGATTGGCAGAGTGATGTGATTTTTTGGCTAGACAGGTAGACAAAAACGACAATTTTCAATTCGACTTGATTAATTCAGAATAATGATATGATATCGATCGCCTTTCTATCATTTTTAGAGGGTTCAGGGTCAAATGGGAACGCAGCAAAGACAAGGAGAAAACAATATAGCATCCTCGATCAATTCGCAATTTTAGGAGAATTGTAGAAAATATGTGTTATATATTTTATATATTAAACGTGTTAGGAAAAAAAAAAGAAAGAAAGAAAGAATATACATTACATTAGAAAATTAAAAGAAAAAAAAATGTTGACTTTTTTAAGGATATTTGTGTACGCAAAAAAGAATTGCTCTCTGGACGGTGCTACATTCGTACACCGCAAAACCTTTTATATCTTTCGGCACAGGATTAAAAAAAAAAAAAGTAGATAAATAAATACAGACAAAAATACAGATTCTAATTAAAACGCCCATTAGATTACCTAGAACGCTAATGACAGTATCATAATAATATTTGTATTTATATGCAACATGAATTATCGTTTTTTTTTTTTTTGTAATTAGAGAATAGCGAATCGGAGCACTGCTACGATCACGGTTTTTCATTAAGTTTGCTTGGTTTTTTCGTTTTTATATACAAAAATTTTGGTATCATTTCCGATAAGGAATTGAGACTTCCAAACCTTGAACGTCTCGATAAAGGTTTTAATGATTGGTTCTTTGGATTCCCGCTTGAGATGGGGGAAATTTTGTTGGAAGGCAGCTGTTGCTTCCTTGAGATGATAGTGAGGTATGATGGGGAAAAGATGGTGAACTTGGTGAGTGCCGATGTTGTGAGTAACATCGCGCAGGATACCATAATCACGATCCACCGAAGAGAGATTTCCAACCACGTACGACCATTCTTCATCGGCAAACCAAGGTAACTTGATATTTTCCTCGACACCGTGATGATGTAGAAATGTGGTGACCACTAACCAAGATGCGAACACAAACCAAGGGAGGAAGTAGTACCTTACAACGGACCAAATGCCGTAAACAGACGAAGCGTAAAAGAGGCAGGTCAAGGCCGCGAGAACGCATGCCAAAGAGGTGATGGCACCAACTCGGTCCTTGGAAAAGAGGGGAGAAAAAGGGTTGATGTGGGAAGTGGCTCTTGTGCCATAGCCCGACACCAGGTATATGATCCAACCAAGACCAAAACCGAAATAAGGAATAAGCTTCGTCTCCCCGGAGCCACCTGTCATAATGATGGCTTCGGATTTCCTCAATGGAAAGAAAACTTCGTCTTTATCGATGTTGCCGGTGTTCTTATGGTGATGACGGTGACTTAACTTCCAAGCGGTGTAAGGAACGAGGATTAGAGTGTGAAGAAAGGTGCCAAAAATATTATTTATCGAAGTATTCCTGCTGAAGCTACCGTGACCGCAATCGTGTCCTAACACAAAAATCGCCCAAAACATCGTACCCTGGGATAGTGTATAAAGGGGAAGTAGGAGGAAAGTTTTGAGGAAGGGTGGAACGAAAGAGGTCGAATCGAGGGCCATGTAAATGGTGAATAGGAGGACAACGATGAGCAAATCTTGGATGACATATTGAAAAGACTTGTAAATTGAAGGAATAAAGTATTCCTTAGGAATGCGCTTTTTGATATCGGTGAGTTTGGGAACCTCTTCCTTTGTAAAGATGGTGTTGCCGGGGATAAGGGATTTCCCATCTAAGGGGACCGAATCTAAATTCTTTAAGAGAGAATCGTCATCGGATTCTACAAACGACGGGGTTGAAAGTGGAGGCATCTCTCGTTATTGTTTAGAAAAAAATTTTTGATTTTTTTCTTTTCTCGCAATCAAGCCTTTGAAAAGATCGTGATAATTAAAAATTTCCTGATTCTTTTTTTTTTTTTTTTTTTTTTCGGGAGAGAAGTTCTAGTACTCCAATATATATACTCATTGAAAAAAAAGATTCATATTTGAAGAAACACGGATGATACAGGATTGTAACTGGGAGGCTTAAATGTGTCTATTCTGGAAGTTATAGCAATTTACTAGTATTATTAAATTTAAAAAGAAGAAATTATATATTGTGTATACTGTATATTGTATGCTATATGCTAAAAAACATAATTTCAATATTTAATAGAAAAAAAAAAAAATCGTGCTCGCGTCACCGTGTCTAGAGTTTATTGGAAGGTGAACTTGAGGCTGATTTAAAGCGAAAATGCGTTGCATTCGGGTCTTTAAAATCCTTGACCTCCCTATTGGTCTCGTTTCTTGTTCTCTGACAGGTGTCATCTCGTAATACCAAACGAGATGCCATTGTACAATTCAGACTTTGAGTTTTTACTAACTTCATTTAAAATTCCATTTTGACATATGAAAGCGGAGATCTGTGGGTGGTGGTAAACAGTGGTAGTGTGTCTATGCCTGAGGTTAAGATAAGTAAATGCGTTTTCATGCATAAATTAGTCGCGGTATGGCTTGTGCCCGCGCCCATCGGGCATTTGCAGAAACCTCGGTGATCCTTTTAGAGAACGTAAGAGATCTGGAAATTAGAAAAGCTTTACGCTTAGCAGTTTTTCAGTAACCGGTGCAAAAATACAGTAGGTCTTTTCTAATTTCACAATAGAATGATCTTTTTCAAATACTTGGGGCATATTCTTTATTCTAATGAACAACAAAGTTATTAGTTGCCTGAATTTTTTTTTTTTTTTTTTTTTTTTTCATTGCACAACCTACGAAATTACAGTATACATCTGCAGCGTACGATAGGTTAAAAGAACTTGTCAAAATTTAAACAAAAGTTGACCAAGAATAGATAATAGGCATTGGTCCGGGAGCTAACAAGCACTTCGTCTTTACGATTTTCTCACGCTCAAATATCCAAGTCCTTTATGATCGGAAAAAGAATTTTCTCTTTAATATTATCTTTACTCAAGTACAAAATGTTTTCTAGAATTTAGTTGTTTTGTCAATAATGACCTGCAGTCACACCTAACCTATATTGGTACAACTCCCTAAATATTATCATATTCGATATTGTGCATGCGATTGTAATTGTTCATTCTGAGCCAAAAATTTTTTTATCCATCGGTTATTTGCTCGCGCAACGTGCCGACATACGCACCTACGTACTGGTTTAGTTAACATTAAATCTTTTTTTCGCCATTTCTGCATCGTATGACATTATCTCTTTAGCACAATTGTGAGATCGATCATTCGTACTGCGCATTTACCAAGTATGTGAACGCAGTGTGCAATACAACTGCAGTCAAAATTCATTCAACCCAAGTTGGTAAAGCGCAAATCAAAAACTTATAGGGAAATAATATGTTGTCAAAACAATACCCAATTTTTGGATTTAACGGTTGTTCGGGAAATAAACAATCAATGAGCAATCGAATTTCCCAGCAACGTGAACTCGCAAAGCTATTCTTATACACCATAAAAAGTTGGATCTTGATAGTATTGTCTGATTCGTCTTTTTTTTTTTTTTTTTTTTTGGCAAACAAACGTAGCATATTTGTCAAAAACAAAAATTAAAATTATTTTTTTTACATACTGTACTTATTGTCTCCTGAAAATTTTAATGACCTTAACACGGCATCTGCCATTAAGACATCCTCAAATCATTATGCCCCTTCTACCTGACTTAAATGTGGGAACTGTGCAATCTATGTCATATTTTTCTTTAGGTTTTCTGCAAACATAATCACAATCATTCATTACCTTTAAACTTCAAACAATTAAAATCATATTCTTCATTTCATTTATTCTTTTAAAATATATTCTAAGATTTCTCTTGTCTACAAAAGATTTTTTGTCTTGCATGTAAACTAATTTCGATTAACGACGAGTCAATAAATATTGGTTAAAACATTCAGAGTAGATTTTCTATCTTTTTTTACGAGACAGATAAGATGAAAAAAATCCCGTCTACTTAGTTTAGATGTTTTACTGAAATTAGGGGTGGACTTGTTTTTTGTAAAATGCGATAATATCATAAATGGTACTTTTAGAGTCTCTGCAATCACATTCCACACCAATAACTTGGTTGCATTCTCCTTCGTCAAGTTCTTTCCTTTTTTTGTTTCATTTTAGGCAAAAAAATAAAACAAAATAAAATATGTACATTTATGTTGCAGCAAACCCAAAAAAAAAAATTAATTGCTGGGCGTTGATCATACCTGATTTTAAAAAATCAGTGTTCATACAATAGGATGTGTACCGAAGATTCAATCTTATATTTCTTCGTGAATAATACATAGTAATATGCGCGTGTAA